CACTGATTTTTTTGCTCATCAGAACATCTTTGACATTAAAATGGTTATGCAAACGGTAAGTCAGTGCAGTGCCTGTAGTCTGGTAATCTAGGACACAGATACATGTTGACTTTATGGAGGGCTGCTGCAGTTTGAGCTGTTTTAATGTAACCATGAACCATCTGAGATTGCCTCAAGCCTTGTGGGAGTCGGGCTGACTTTGCACAGAAGCGGACCAGGGAGTGTTCACATGCTGAGCTGCGCTGATGGAAAGTTTCCAGCTCACAGGCAGTGATAGCGTCTGAATACGAGGGAAAAGGAGTGTCTATTCTAACTCAATCGTGATTCACTGGAGGACAAACATCCAACACTTTAATATGAGACTGAAGAAGCTGACATTCTCCAGGATAAAAGGGGTTATTGTGATGGTATCTGCATACAAATCACACCACAGCGTTGTTTTTTTGCATTCATAAAACTTTCTTACTAGCTGGTATTTACTGTAATTACTTATTAAATGTTAACAGCACCCTCTCTTATGGGTGCAGGCGTATTTCTAGTCTCTGCTCTGCAATCTTGTCTTTGCCAATAGCTCTTGTATTTGTGGATGTTCTTATCTTGGTCTCATCAGACTGCTCATTTCAGGCATTTATCTTCCACTCCAGCTCATCTGGCTGTAGAAAACAAAACGTTAGCTTTTAAAAAGCCTATTGAAAAATCAGTCACATGAGAATAGCTGGAATTCTTCACCTCTGGGTTTTGTGCCAGCTGGAACTGGATATTTTCCATTGAAAACAAGACATTCAATGATAAAGCCATGCCCAGTGACATTTGAGTGAATGTTTTTTGTAGTAGGAAGTCCTCACCGTTTGTTGTAGGCAGTAAAGGGAGAGCAATAACTTCAGTTTGCAATAAATTTTCTGCTCTGTGGTGGGTAAAATGGAAGTTTCCCAGAGCTAGAATTAAACAATAATTAGCAGCTGATAAAATCCCCCTGATGTCCTGCACCTTCTTTCATGCAGCATGAATATTAAGAGCTGCTTATCAAGCTCAGTTCCTGATTAATATTCTCCAATTTATACAGGCCTGCTTCTTGTTTCTCTGAAGAAGCATTTATTTTAAAATACATAGTAGACTAAAAAAAAGACTGGATTTGTGAAATTAAAAATTGAGCATTATTAGCAGCTGGAGCATCCAGTGATTGTGCAGTAAGTTGTTTGTAATTTGTACTTCAATTATAATTTATTGCTAAGGTCTTTTTTTTGTTAAGGATTTTTAAGGTGAAGCATTTGCAGCTGCATTTTGACTTCTTTAAGGTCATAAACATTGTGGATATGTAAAGCAGGTCTTTTTACCTTAAGTAATTAATTATTGTAGTAATTTGTAATTTGCAGTCGTGATTAAAGTTTAGTTCTGTGCATGTAGGGACTGTAGGAAAACACTGTACTTACATGGAAGAGCTCGCTCCAAGACATGTGAGATGCTTTGATGTTATCTTCTTTTATCAAGAAGCAGTGTGCCGAGGACCGGGGACTCTCCCGTGGGCAGGACCAGCTGTGTGCTGGAGCGGTGGCTCCTGTGGCTCAGTTTTGGGGAGCTGTCGGATGCCACAGAAAGCCCTCCCTCGGCTTTGCAGGCAGCTCAGGAGAGCAATGCTGGGCCTACGGGGTGTTTGGGCGTGGGATGGCTCTCTGTATTTATCTGATATTTCCTGCTGCCTCTTTGTCCCGTTGCGTTTGCGTGACCTCGGGCTCCCCCAGGACTGCTTTTCTCGTTCTCCCCTGGGATATCGTTGATCACTTTCACAGTGATGCGTTTCAAGATCTGAGCAAAAAAATGGCGAGGTAAGCTGATGTAATGTTTGCTGCTCATGAAAAGGTTATGGGTCCAACTAAAGCAGCAGAAGCGAATAATCACCAAACTCTGATCTCTGAGGGAGAGAAATGCGATATCTAAGGCTTTTGAAACCTCTAGAGCTTGCTTTTAAAATCTGGTATTTTACAGATCTTTTTCAAGCAGACGGTTATTCCCCATTATTTTAAATGATGACTTTTGAGAAGCAATTTGATTTACGCAAACATGCAAAGAAAATGAATAGCCATTTCAGATTTTGCACCTGCGTCCCACCAAACAGATTTTGAGCCCGTTTGTTTCTCGCTTCACACAGCTCCGGGTTATGATTAAAGACTGTTCTTGCTCCTGCTATGATCTTCCCATGAAATAGAAGTCAGTGCATCTGCATGCTGCCTGATTCATCACTTGCTGAGCTTGAAGAGACCTAAGGCTCAAAAATATTTAATTGCTGTTTTAAATGTGCAGCAAAATCCTGGCTTGACCGAGGTCAGTGGCAGCTCCATTCCCACAGAGCCTGGGTTTCAAAGCTGGGGCCCTGTCTGCACCGTGCAGCGGGGTCCTGCTCCTACACCTGCTCCCTGCACCAAACACAGCCGGCCTCTTGCCCAGAATATCCCTTCGCACCCAGCTCTGCCCCCTCTCGTGTGATGGGGCTGTTGTGCCACTTACTGCGCCACTGAACAATGCTGGACTCTTAAAGCAGGATTAACTCCTGTCCGGACTAGATGTTGATCAAGCAGACTTGCAGGCTGTTGAAAATTTTGAGGACACACAGGTTTTTGTGGGTTCTGAAGAGTAGCATGGGGAAGCCTGAAGTGCCATGAAATTCAAAACACCTAGGTGTCTGTGGCATATGTGTTTTGTTTCTAGCTTCTGAAGAAAAGATGCATAATTAAGGAAAAAATGCAATCTTTATTTGCATGTACAATATGTTTCTCCTATCTCTGTCTCATCCCCTTTGTGAGAACCCAGGGCCAGAATTACAGTATCTGAAGTTGCTTTTGGATCCCAGTCAGCTCCCATCTGTCATGATCTGTTTTTAATCGAATGGGTTTTCCATCTGAAAGTAGCTGTTGGATAGAGAATGAGTAGAAATATTTGTGTTGTGAATTAGCTCAGACTGAAGCTACAAACTTTTTTTTTTTTCCACAACAAACACATGGAAAAATATTCTTGAGTGTAGTGTGGCTGGCCTGAAAATTGGCAACAGCAGCTTCCTTCCCAGGCTCTGACTCCTCTGGCTTGTCTGCATGGGTAAGATCTTTAAAGGGGACCTGAAATCTTCATCTTACGCACTTTTACCTCCGCTTCATGAAGCAGGGCAGTGCTGGTGTCACCCTTGTGTATATGGATATATACACAGGAGGGAGGTTGCGTGGCTTGGTTTTCCAGAAGAAATATGAGATGCAGTAGAGGAATAACCTGGCTTTGCTGAGAGTCGTGCTCTCACCTCTGGGCAGCCTTCCCTTTGCCAGCCTCGATGGTCTTTGCTCTGGTGGGAGCAGCAGATACGTTTGATAGGATAACTGAGTCAAATTCAGGCTCTTAGTCCTTACCCTCAGTGCTCTATGAAAGGCCCCAGATCTCCTTAACAGTCTGTGCCCAGCACGTCCAGTTCTCAAACACCATGAAACTGGGCTGCAGGAGACAGGGAGCAAACTGCCTTGGGGACTGAACGTGGTCGTAACAAGTAGAGAGCAAAGTGAGGCTGCAGGACCTCCATGGTTTCCAGGACATCAGACGACACCACTTTTCCACTGGGGAAGAATAAGAAGGGAAAAATCCCTTGGTCCTTGGTTTTCATGCAATACCCTTTATCATTAAAAGCACAGAAGCAATTACCCTGCATCAGCACATTGGAAGATGGGCTAGTGTCCTGGGGGAGATGGAAAAGACGGTAATACTTATCCATCCCCCGTTGCTGGAGACAGCTTCGCGTCTGCATCCATGGCAAAAGGGAGGGCTCCTGTTGCAGCGCTGGGACTGAGGGCGGAGGGATGCTTTCCTGTTTCCTCTGCCAGATCCTTATCTCACTCCATTTCTGAAATCTGGAAATTGCTTTAAAGACCCAGGAGCTGGCCTAGCTGTGATTTCCATTACATTGGCATTGCATAGTCACCCTCAGTGGTCACCCTTGATGGCTCCATCCTGTGTTTGCTGAAGTCGTCTTGTATATCTGTCATGAAGGCAGCAGGACCAGCATTTGGCCTGAAGGCCAGCGTATGAGAGAGCAGAATCTGGCTCATTTTTTTCCTTTTTTAAAAAATGTTTTGGAGGTACTAGGGTCAAAAGGAAACGTTTGTGTGTTTTATATGTGTGTGTGTGTGTGTGCATGTGCATGCAAATAATTTTTTTTATCACAGCTTCCGGCAAAATACTGTTTCTCTAAGATGATTGTTTGGGCATGAACTAGGGCTGGACAAGGAAAATCCTGGACTTGTTCTGGGCTCTTGTTGCTCTTTCCACCGACATAAGAAAGCAGTGTCATTGTCACTGACCTGCTTTACATCACCTTCAAATCAGTCTGATAGGTGCCAGAGGTGCCAAGTGGTACAATGTGACTCAGCAAGGGCTGCAGGCTGTAGGTCTGAGCTGTTGTCGCGTGTGTACGGGTGTGCGTAAGCGGTTGTGTTGCACAGCTGTAATCCCACAACCCCCCTGGAGCCGAGTTCCCTTTGAATGTCCTTGTTGAACTAGAGCCATGTCTTGCCTGGGGAGGGCCACGGTCGCATCTCTGTATACAAGGAAAACCTGGAGCATGGGGTTGGAGATCAGCAGCCCATGATGGGCTGTTACTTCAGGAGTAGAAATAGCTCTCCTGACTGCCTGCAACATGCCCTGGAGCCCTCCAAACAGGCAGAGGTAGAGGGCAGGGTGTGCTACCAGGAATGAGAAAATGTGCTGTCACTTGATTAAAGCTTTCATCCTAGCGAAAGCAAAATCAGTGGGAGCTGGTGATGGGGATGCGTGGGAGAACACTGGGTGCTAAAGGCTGTAACAGGGCAATGGCTTTAATTTAGGCTAGTCCTACACCCCAGGTTATATTCCTTATTGTAAGCAGGAGCAGCCAGCGAGATGCGGAATTTATCTGTACTGACTGTTCAGCCTTTGGAGGTATCCTGTGCTTCAGAGCCCACCTGAACTTGTATTTTCTTTCCCCTGAACAGGTCTATATCATCAACGTAACATGGTCTGACCTGACTTCCCAGATCATCTACCGGAGATACAGCAAGTTCTTTGACCTGCAGGTAAGTGTGTCTTGTCTAACATAAAATATTATTTCTACTCACACTTCTAGTCGTGTTTCCCGCTGGCACTGGAAGTAAAGCCTTTAAATAAGGCTTTGTGCTTGTCTGGTCTGTTACATGTCACAATCTTGAAGCTTTTCAGACTCTGTCCTTGTAGGGTATAAGATAAGTGGGTGGTATGCCCACAGTAACTTGCACTGTAAAGACATTTAAAGCTGACATTTTCATGAATGGTTCCTATTGAAGAGGGGATCTAATTTTAAATACTTCAGATGCACTTAGAACAGAAGGAAAGCTACGTTTTGGGCCCTCAGAAACTACTTACCCAAATCGCTGAAAACAACAGAGCTTTTGCACACTCCCACAGGAGTTCAGTAATGGAGATGGTAGTGGAAGCCTTCCAGACCCTCCTTCTAACCACCTACTCAGCCAGCCGGTGTCCTGGCTCCTGCTGTTTTGTACAGCTCCCTTGCTGTATTCTGTGCCTGTGTATTTAGATTTCATCGAAAGCTTTCTTGCTGGATAGCTGCTGACCAAAGTCTGAAGCCAAGAAACGGGAAAAGTCCAAATTACAAAGTTTCAGTGTGGGCATCAGCTACTTCATTTCTGGTACTGCTCCCAGGCACCTGCACGGGTAGGGAGAGCTTTCTGGCTGGTGTCCTTTTTAGCAATAATCCAGATTCATTGATACCTTTGTATCATTGTACCTTTGCAGGCAGGAAAACTATAATTGCCTGGGGTGAAAACAAAAGCTGTGGTTTGACAGACTCCTGAACTTTGGGGGAAACATTGATTTTGGGCTGGAGCTTGTGGTTGGAGCTGGGCTGTGGCTAGAGTATCAAGTGAGTACTCACAGCTGGTGTTAAGGACGTACACAGCTGACTGGGCTGTGTCCTGGGAAATAATATTGAGCCTTTTTGCCATGATAAATTATGAAAAAAAAAAAGGGTTCCTCTGTTTGGAACCTGATCTGAGATCTCTTGAAGAGTCCTAGTTTCATCGTTGCTCCCCCTTTATGTGTCATTTCTGGTACTTGGACATCTGAAGCTTGCCTGTTTTGCAAGCTATATGGTTATGGCCTCCTGGCTTTTCTGGTGGAAAATGGGACCATTTCTATGGCCAAGCCTGATTTCTGTGTTTGCTGTGTGGCTGGAAGACAAAAGAGGGATGTTCTTAAGCTTCCTCTTGTGCCTCTCTCCAGTTCTTACTGGTCTGAAGCACCAGGCCTGCCAGTCCCACCACTGTGAAGAGTATGTCAGTGGCTTCTCTGTGTCAGATGTACCTGCTAAAGATGCACAGCTCCATAATCACAAACGCTTGTTGTCGGCATGCGGATTGTGGCCAAAACCGTTTCTTTCTCTCTCTTCTTTTCTTTTTGCCCCAGTTCTGTTTTCATGTATATGTTCTTCTGGGTCTCCTGGCCTTTCCTGGTAGGTTTGAAAAGTTCCCATCAAGCGTGGAGTTATCAATGGGGTTAGTGTGTTGGACAGGAAATGATGTCTCAATCGGGGAGTGAGTCCTGAAAGGTCCCATTGATAAGTGCAAGGGGGCCTAGCGCCAGTGGAAAACTCCTGCTTGCACAACGCTTCTCCCCCCACGAGAAAATATGACAAGAAAGTAACAAAATTCCCTTCCTTAACCCTTTTCCCTCCCAGGGATCTCTGTCAGGGCCACTCCTGCATGAGCAGTGACAGCCCTTTGCCACAGCCTCTTTAGCTCTTGCAGCGTCAGGCGCACCATTACCGAAACAGAGGTCTTCACCTGGGGTTTCCATGGTTTCGTTGTGTCTCTGTAAGCATATCACTGTGGTGGTCTGTGCCTCAGTTTCCCAGCTGTAAGATGGGGACAAGGCCCTATGTGTTCAGGCTTGCTGTAAGGTGCTTTTAGACTCCCAAAAGTGGTTTTGGTTTTGGGGGTTTTTTTTGCTATTATTTTTTTTCTGGGCTCTTGATGCTGCCAGAGCATCTCCGAGGTGAGACAAGTGAAATGGATTTTGGGTCTTGAATTGCAACTTTCATTTGCAACTCTAACGAAGCCTGCAAAGGGAGTTGGAAAAGCAAAGTGCTAGGGCACTTTGAGAGACCTTTGCCTTTTGGGAAACTTGTGGCTTCGTGTGCAGTGATTCTTGCTCAACAGCAAATGCTGTGTTACCGCAGCACATGAATAAGCAGGCACGGAAAACTTCATGCAGAAGCTCTGCAGCCCCTTTTCCAGCTGCTTGCAATTGCTCAGGCTTAATGCTTGGTGAATGTCTCGTTGTACTTGGTCGACCTGCTTCTAGTGTCTCTAGCTTCAGGTAACTACAACAGGGAGACCTTAGCATTTATGGGAAAATGCTCCTGGTATTGTAAAGTAGCTGTTTCAGGGTTTAGCAGTGGAGGATTCCTCATGTTTGCTGTCTGAACCATGACTGGCCTGCAGTGGGGCTCTAGGCTGCGTTGCATCTTGCCTCGCAGACAGTGATTCCCAGTCAGATTAAGATTTCCTGAATGGAGGAGCGATGTTTCCAATGGAAAGCTCAGAGCAGAGCCTTTCATGATGAAAGTTGGAGAGCAACATGGGGGTGCCCAGCCCACATTCCCCAAACCCTTGAGGGGATGAACCTGGCTCTTGGTCGTGGACCACGTGGCAGTTGTTGAGGGTGCTGTCTGCTTGTTGAGGATCATGGTAGTCTCCTTAGATCCCCCTCACTTTGCTCCAGATAAGGAGATGACCTGTGATTTCCAGATTTTTGGTGGAAGCTTGAACTTCTGACCTAGCACTGGTTGGACCTGGGTTTTGCAACCTGATAGCACGCATGACAATGGCCTTTGCATAACCAATCTACTTTGGTAATGTCCCTTCTTATCCCCATGTGGCCTTTCCAGCAGAAAATCAAGCAAATGCTCTGTGAGTAAAGCTCAGCTGATTTGTGGGCACCACCCATGTCCAAAACAGCTGGAGTCTACAGCTCCACTCATCCCAGTGTGTCCACGACAGAGCTGCACTTCAGGGCTTCCTAAGCCTGCACGTGTCTCATTTGCTCTTGACTGGAAGTGGAGGAACAAGGGCTGACTTGTAATGACTTCATCAGGGCTGCAATGCCTGGTGTTGACAGTGACACTGGATAGGACCCATGGGGAAATCCTGGGGGCTGCCCAGGGCCAGGGAGGGAGGAATACAGATAATTCATTTCACTACTGCAATTTCATGTTTCTTTAAAATTGGAGAGCCCACCCTTCTCCAAGCAGCTGTCACTGTGGGAAGTGGCTCAGTGGTTTTGAGAGCCCTTCCATTATCAGATACTGGGCTTTTTGAAACCCTTCCTGGCAAATCCTCCCAGGCACTGCAGACAGTAAGAGGCTGCTCTGTGACAAGGATTCAAATCCCCAAAGTGTTTGGTCGTGCTATTTCAGTAGCTCATATGCTTGAATTGGGGGTCATGTTTTCAAGATGAGTAATAGGGCAGCAAGACTGGATATACCATGGGATTTTGAAGCTGGAGGTTGCCCCATGAAGGTGTGAGAAGTACAGCAAACAGAACCCAATGCAACAAGCCAAGTGTCAGCCCTGTGCTGCTTCAGTGAGGGCTGGAAATCTATAAATACGGGTTTAAATTAAATCTAGGCGTTGCTGCATCATTTAATTGTGCAACCAAGTCACACCTGCTGCTGAGTGTGGGTCAAATGATGGCAGCAGAATACATGTGGGTGCCAACGTTTCAGTAAATAGGATTGAAAGTATTGAATTAACTCTGCATAGATGAAAGCATTACTATAAATTGCTTGTCAAGTCCAATTATGTGTTGTCTTTCACCCTGGGGAAGCATTTGCACCTGAGTACGACGTGCAGTCAAAGCCACCTCCTAATGTAATATTTTGAGTGCTGCTTTCTCATGCACTCTGCACCTGGGTGCTTGGCTCTTGCCTGTGATGCAGAACAGGGGAGCGTGAGGTGCCCATCACTGGGAGAGATGGCTATGTGAACATCGCCTGTAGCTAGTGCTGACCCTCCTGGCAGGCTGGTGGCTTATTCAGGCATGTTCCCTGGATATCGTCTGAGGTCTCCCACCATCGCTGATGGATTTGCTAGTGGTGGTAGCAGAATCCTCTCCTGAGTTGGTAGTTCAAGTCGGCAATGCTCCTGTTGTCCTCAAAGATGCTGAGAAAGGACACTGTTATATTGGGACAGCAGGGATCACTCCTAGCATTTCCACTGTGCAGTAAAAGACATTGACAGATGTAAGGCTCATGTTTTTCTTGCCAGAAGGTGCTTTTGGAGGCTGTTAGCAGGATGAGGATTTGCAGTTCAGTGTGTGTGTAAATAATTACCTAAAGCGTAAAGTGGAGAAGTGTGGGGATGCAGCCAGCTCACTCTCCCGGTTGCCACGCTGGGCTGGGAAGCAACAACAATGTTTGCAGCTGGCAAGTGTGAAGACTGGCTCTTACGCCACTCCCCACCTCACCCTCCCAGTTGCTCAGTACCACCTTGGGCTTTTTATAGATGTTATCACCCCAGTTGGGTGCTGCCGCTTGCTGCCGAGAAACCTTCTCCCCAGCAAAGCAGGCAGGGAAAATGTGACCATGCTTCAGTGCCTGGTGTGTTAGCTTGAATCACCAGCAGCTCATCTTCTGCATTTTATCCAGCGACTCCAAATGTTCTGGCCCGATTTCATGCCTGTCTTTCATGTCCCTACCTCAGCAGAGGGACCAAAGCCTATGTTCAGACACCGGCCTCTCTGTTGCTCCCGTGAGGATGGCTGGGTCTCCGTGTGTGGAAGATCCTTTCTCACAATACGCAAAACACAGCAGCTGGCTTTAACGGTGTGCCATAATCCCACATTGTGTTTCTGGCGGCGTGAGAGGCGA